CTCAAACTCCTGGCCTCAAGAAATCCTCTTGCCTTGGCCTTCCAAATTGCTGAGATTACAGGCATGAGACAGTGTGCCCTCATATACACCTTATTAATTACACTTCAGTAAAGCTTGAAAAAAAAATTAAGGCCGGGCACGGTGGCTCACGCCTGTAATCCCAGCACTTTGGGAGGCCGAGGCGGGTGAATCATGAGGTCAAGAGATCGAGACCATCCTGGTCAACATGGTGAAACCCCGTCTCTACTAAAAATACAAAAATTAGCTGGGCATGGTGGCGGGCGCCTGTAGTCCCAGCTACTCAGGAGGCTGAGGCAGGAGAATTGCTTGAACCCAGGAGGCGGAGGTTGCAGTGAGCCAAGATCACACCATTGCACTCCAGCCTGGGTAACAAAAGCGAAACTCCATCTCGAAAAAAAAAATTTTACTTAAAAAATAAGGCCGGTTGGCCTGGTGCAGTGGCTCACGCTTGTAATCCCAGCACTTTGGGAGGCTGAGGCAGGCAGATCACCTGAGGTCAGGAATTCAAGACCAATTTGACCAACATGGAGAAACCCTATCTCTACTAAAAATACAAAAGTAGCTGGGTATGGTGGCACATGTCTGTAATCCCAGCTACTTGGGAGGCTGAGGCAGGAGAATCTCTTGAACCCAGGAGGGGGAGGTTGCGGTGAGCCGAGACTGCACCATTGCACTCCAGTCTGGGCAACAAGAGTGAAAATCCATCTCAAAAAATAAAAATTGAAAGAATAAAATAGAACAACAAGACCAGGTGCAGTGGCTTATGCCTGTAATCCCAGCACTTTGGGAGGCTGAGGTGGGCAGATCACCAGGTAAGGAGTTTGAGACCAGCCTGGACAATATTGCTAAAAATACAAAAATTAGCTGGGCATAGTGGCAGGCGCCTGTAGTCCCAGCTACTCAGGAGGCTGAGTCAGGAGAATCACTTGAATCTGGGAGGTGGAGGTTGCAGTGAGCCAAGATCATGCCACTGCACTCCAGCCTGCATGACAGAGGGAGACTCTGTCTCAAAAAAAAAAAAAAAAAAAAAAATTGTGTAAGCAGTAACTACAAAAAAAGAAAAAATAAATAGATTGGATTCGGTGGTTCATGCCTGAAATCCCAGCACTTTGGGAGGCCAAGGTGAAAGAATCACTTGAGGCCAGTAGTTCAAGACCAGCATAGCCAACATGGCAAACCCATCTTTACTAAAAATACAAAAATTACTTGGGCATGGTGGTGCATGCCTTTAATCCTAGCTACTTGGGAGGCTGCGGCATGAGAATCTCTTGAGCCTGGGAGGCAGAGGTTGCAGTGAGCTGAGATCATGTCACTGCACTCCAGTCCAGATGACAGAGCAAGACCCTGTTTCAGAAAAAGAAAAAAAAGTCTCCACCAACAGTTTTTTGTGTGTGTGTGTGCAGGCTGGTTTCAAATTCCTGAACACAAGCAATCTTCCTTCCTTTGCACCCAAAGTGCTGGGATTACAGATATGAGCCACTGTGCCTGGCCAATGAAGCTATTTTATGTATGTATTATGTTTTTGAGGCCAAGTTTTGTGTTCTTGTTGCCCAGGCTGTGCAGTGCTGTGATCATGGCTCGCTGCAACCTCCGCCTCCTGCATTCAGGGGATTTTCCTGCCTCAGCCTCTGGAGTAGCTGGGACTACTGGGGCATGCCACCACACCTGGCTAATTTTTGTATGTTTTTTTTTTTTTTTTTTGAGATGGAGTTTTGCTCTTGTTACCCGGGCTGGGGTGCAATGGCACGATCTCAGCTCACCGCAACCTCCGCCTCCTGGGTTCAGGCGATTCTCCTGCCTCAGCCTCCTGAGTAGCTGGGATTACAGGCACGTGCCACCATGCCCAGCTAATTTTTGTATTTTAGTAGAGACGGGGTTTCACCATGTTGACCAGGATGGTCTCGATCTCTTGACCTCGTGATCCACCCGCCTCGGCCTCCCAAAGTGCTGGGATTACAGGCATGAGGCACTGCGCCCGGCCCTAATTTTTGTATTTTTAGTAGAGACGGGGTTTCACCATGTTGGCCAGGCTGGTCTCAAACCCCTGACCTTGTGATCCACCTGCCTCGGCCTCCCAAAGTGCAGGGATTACAGGTGTAAGCCATAGGCTTACCAGAGCTGCTGGTCACAGCTCTTTTTAAAAAACTGCTTCAGCCTGGCCTGTAATCCCTGCTACTCGGGGGAGCTCAGGCAGGAGAATCACTTGAACCTGGGAGGCGGAGGTTGTATTGAGCTGAGGTTGTGCCACTGTACTCCAACCTGGTGACAGAGCAAGACTCTGTCTCAAAAAAAAATCAAAAAGAAGGAAGTAATACTGGACAGGGTGATAGGAGAGAGCATTGAGGTCCTCGGTTGTCAGGTTAAGCAGTTAAGTTTTCTAGGTAAGAGGGAATCTTTGAATTCTACAGCAGGTGAATTCAAGGAATAAGTGAAGGACAGGATTAGGCCGAACAAGGATGAATAAATGACATACAAATTTTCAGCTACAAAATCAGGCAGCATGTATTGATTTACGTATCTTTTGATTTTCTGCTGTATTTCTTTATTTGAGACAAAGTCTCGCCTTGTAACTCAGGCTTGGGTGCAGTGGCGTGATCTCGGCTCACTGCAACCTTCGACTTCGAGTTCAAGTGATTCTCCAGCCTCACCCTCCTGAGTAGATGGGATTACAAGCATGCGCCACCACACTTGGCTAATTTTTCTATTTTTGGTAGAGATGGGTTTTCACCATGTTGGCCAGACTGGTCTTGAACTCCTGACCTGAGGTGATCCACCTGCCTAGGTGAGCCACCGCGCCTGGCCCCAGCTAATTTTCTGTATTTTTTGTAGAGCTCAGGCTGATCTTGAACTCCTGGGCTCAAGCAATCTGCCCACCTCAGCCTCCCAAAGTGTTGGAATCACAGGCATGAGCCACCATGCACAGCATATATATATATTTTTTTGAGATGGAGTTTCACTCTTGTTACCCAGGCTGGAGTGCAATGGCGCGATCTCGGTTCACTGCAACCTCCGCCTCCTGGGTTCAGGCAATTCTCCTGCCTCAGCCTCCTGAGTAGCTGGGATTATAGGCACGCGCCACCATGCCCAGCTAATTTTTTTTTGTATCTTTAGTAGAGACGGGGTCTCACCATGTTGACCAGGATGGTCTCGATCTCTTGACCTCGTGATCCACCCGCCTTGGCCTCCCAAAGCATATATTTTAAAAACAAAACTTTTATTGTCTTCACCCTTATTATGAAAGATATAAATTTCATTTTCAAAAATCCAAAATGACAGTTTTGCTTTAAAATGGTGGGCAGCAGGCAGTCACTCTGGGGTCTTTAGCTGGGAGTGACAGGAAGCAAGACTGCAACTCTGCAACTTTTTTTTTTTGAGACAGAGTCTCACTCTGTTACCCAGGCTGGAGCGCAGTGGTGTGATCTCGGCTCACTCACTGCAACCTCCGCCTCCCAGGTTCAAGTGATTCTCCTGCCTCAGCCTCCTGAGTAGTTGGGACTACAGGTGCGTTCCACGACGCCCAACTAATTTTTTGTATTTTTAGTAGAGATGAGGTTTCACTGTGTAAGCGAGGATGGTCTTGATCTCCTGACCTTGTGATCCACCTGTCTCAGTGCTGAAATGACAGGTGTGAGCTTTCTATTATGGAGAAATCTTTTATTATGGTTTGTTGTATGAGATGCTGAGGTCCAGGGAGGGTAGTGATTACACAATGACAAACGTAAGGGTTGGCAGGCAGTTCACAAACCACTCTGCTGAAAACCAATGATTAAAAACCAGTGAACATTTCTTGAGCACTTACACATGCTTGGTGCTATAGTAAGCACTGTGCATTTAGTAACTCATTTAGCCCTGATAGGTCAGGTACTTGTTTCATTCCCATTATATGGATGAAAAATTTGAGGCACAGAAGGATTAAGTAACTAGTGGGGTGTGGTGGTGGGCACCTGTAGTCCCAGCTACTTGGGAGACTGAGACAGGAGAATCGCTTGAACCCTGGAGGGGGTAGTTGCAGTGAGCAAGATGGGCGACAGAGTGAGACTCCATCTCAAAAAAAAAGGAAAAAATAAAAAATAGTGGAGCTGAAGTGTTAGCTTAGCTGAGTTCTGTAGTTAACCCACCAAAGCTAGATATTTTTTTTTTTTTGAGACGGAGTTTCACTCTCGTTACCCAGGCTGGAGTGCAATGGCACGATCTCGGCTCACCGCAACCTCCGCCTCCTGGGTTCAGGCAATTCTCCTGCCTCAGCCTCCTGAGTAGCTGGGATTACAGGCGCGCGCCACCATGCCCAGCTAATTTTTTGTATTTTTAGTAGAGACGGGGTTTCACCATGTTGACCAGGATGGTCTCGATCTCTTGACCTCATGATCCACCCGCCTTGGCCTCCCATGTACTGGGATTACAGGTGTGAGCCACCCTGTCCAGCCTACTTTTACCTTTTATATGTACAATTCAAGTCTCTCTATTCTAGTTTATAAAGTTCCAGATGAGTAGAGCTTTCATGACATCATCTGACATGTTGGTATTCTCAACTCAGGGCTGCTGAAAGCCGCTGACACACTCTGTTAATGATTCCAAGGGCAGAATCAGGCTGGAGTGAAGAGTTGGCTGGTGTGTAAGAACTCCATCCCCTGTAACTGACAGGATGCAGGCTATGATGCCATAGGTTAGGCTGGTCCTCCACCCCATCCCCTCACCTGCCACCATGGTCCTAAACAGCAGTTATGATGTAATGTTTAATGTTTAAAAAAATACTCTGGTGATTTATGTACTTAAAAATTATTTGAATGCACCCTGAGGATGGTGGTGAAACGTGCAATTTTGACACCAAAACAAGTGGGTGCCTTGAATATTTAATTAAAGGATCAGAAGAAGAAAACAAAGTCGCTCAGATGGAAATGTGGCCTAACCCCCAACCCAAGGTCTGAGAGAGTGGCAGAAACTAGTGTCACCTTTGAAAACAAAACATGGCTACAGACAAATTCAAGAAAGAATGAAAATTTATTGCTTATTTTAGGGCTAGTTTCTTTTTTCTTTTTTTGGAGACAAAGTCTTGCTCTGTCACCCAGGCTGGAGTGAAGTGATTTGATCTTGGCTTACTGCAACCTCCATCTCCCGGGTTCAAGTGATTCTCCTGCCTCCACCTCTAGAGTAGCTGGGATTACAGGCGCTTGTCACCACACCTTGCTAACTTTTTGTATTTTTAGTTTCTTTTAAAAAGTAGTTACTTATTAAAATAAGAGATGATTTATTTTCAGGATTCCTGAAGGCACAGACTGCCTTTCCAATGTAAAGGAGAAGAGGGAAAATAGAAGGCTGCCTGCTCCTCCTCTGCTAACAAAGGGTGTTTCTTAGCCAGGATGGCAATGAAAAATGCAATACAACGTAGTTTATCGAAGCAGACCGTGTCTCTGGCTCCTCAGGGATAAACTGTATAAAACCTTATTAGATTCAAATACAAACTTATCTATCATTATACCATATTTAAAAAAATCATTACAGCTATAAGCTCCATTTTTTATACAAGTGGGGTTAAATTGGTTGATTTAAAGATTTCCCTCTTTCCTACTGGTTTTAAAACATTGTCTTAACCAAAATTAGGAATGTGCTAATTTAACAATTTACACTACAAGCCTGCTTCCTGGCAACGTGCTGTCAATTGAAGAAAGGAAAGAAGGAAATCTACTTCGTGAAGAGAAATCAAACCTCACTCCCACTTCTCTCTCTTTCTTCTTTTTTTCTCTGAGCAATGGTCCCCAGGAAACAAACCCACAAACCGCTGTCAAGTTTGATTCCTCTTTCTGGACTTACAGCCTTCCTGCTCCTCCGTGATGGCTCAGCTGACATACCACCTCTGCTATTGGTTTTCAAAATACATGTTGAGTCTTAGGACCAGGAGGACGATTGAGGTTTTTCCCTTGTCATTTTTCTTTTCTTTTTCTTTCTTTCTTTCTTTTTTTTGGTGGTGGGTGGGGCCAAACCAAGAAGGAGACAGCAGGTCTGGGCCACCCCTCTCCTGACCCTCTGGGGCCATCTTCCTTCTGGCAATTCTCTTTCCCCATCTGTTTTCCTCTTGTTTTTGTTTTTTAAAAGAGAAGGAAAAACAATCAAAGAAAGGAAAAGAAACGAAACGAAACAAAATTACATGAAACATCTCTGTGGCAAGGCTAGTATGGTAGAAAATGATAAAAGATTACAGGAGTGCATTGATTCATGTGCGAGTTCCACGTTTCCACACAGGTCTCAAGTTATGGAAGGAATACATAGTTTAGGCAACAGATGGTGGCATGAGAAGCTTCATCTTTAGTTTTTAAGTTACACAAAATTTGCTTCTTCGTTTGGCAAAGGAGGGGCTCTGTTTTGGTCTTATTTAATTAATAATTTTTCCATTACTCATATATTTCAGTAAACGTTCACTGATCTTCGGTTTGCTCCAGATGCCGAGGAGGGAACTCTGGGGGCAAATAAGGGCTTAAACATTCCTGGTGGGGCTGCCAGGCTCTTCCTCAGCCTGGGAAATGCTCCCATTTCAGAGACAGCACCCTGCCCCGCCCCCGCCCCAATGGCTTCACACAGTATATATTTCTGCAGCTTCCTAGGGCCTTTAGCACATGTGTCCAGCTGAGTTCATTTAAGGGCTCTTTTCAGGATGATCTTCCCATGGATTCCAATGAGCAAAACCAGAGGAGCTGGGGAGGTCCACGTAATGTATTTTTAAATTTTTCCATCTCTAAGACCCAGGCATAGTTATGCAGGTTGGACACCGAGTTTTTTTTTTTAATTTCTAATTGAAGTATAATTTAAACAGTGAAATCTTGCATATTTTAAATGACATTTATACGTTTTGACAGATGTACATACACGGCATTATATTTTTATTTCACTACCCCAGAAGGTTCCTTCACGCCCTTTCCCAGTCAATACCTCCTCGTTCCCTAGGGCACTTTTCCTCTCCCCATGGCTTAGTTGTGTGTTCTAGGATTTCCTGGAAATGGAATCACACAGTATGAACTCTGGTGTCTGGCTTCTTTCTCCCAACCCCAACACGATGTTTTTGGGAGTCACCAGGTTGTTGCCGGTACGAGGTTAAACAGGATATCACTAACAGCGAGATAGTGTTAGGACGAGGACAGTTTTTACCCCTGTTGGCCTCCAGGCCAGATACTACCTAAATGCTGGTAAGTGGCCCTCCCTGCCCTTCCAAGTGAGTCTCTCTCTGGGGCCATGCAAGTTCCGCTCCCAGAACCGCTCAGGCGGTCTCGGGCACCACCCAGATGGCCGCGGGGCCATCACCAGGTCGCCTCCCGAGAACAGCTGCCCCCTGCCTCCCCTCAGCCCCATTAAAACTCAAAAGGGAACTCTGGCCCCTCTGCCGATCAGAATTCAGATTCGCCTAATTCCACGCATCCAACTGCACACAACCGTGTGATGTTTTGGTGATCACAGATATGCCGAGTCCTTTAAAAAACGTAAACAGAAAAAAAGAAAAGGTGAGTAAAAACCGAGGATCTCGTGGGCAGTGGGTATCAGTCTAGGTTGAGCCAGGGATTCAGAATGAAATCTTTTCTTTTTTAAATAAACAGAAGAGTCGTTCTCTGCTCCTCGCTCAGAAGGTTTCAAAGGTCGTCACACTGAAGCCCGGGGGCGTTCATCTCCCCAGCGGCCAGGAGAAGGGAGGAGGTTGGAGGGAGGAGGGAGGAGGGAGGGAACACACAAAAGCGGGCAGTGCTGAGAGGGCTAATGTTTCCTGTTTGCCTGGAGCCCCCTCCCCTGCCTCCCCTCCCCCAGCCCCCTCCCAGCACTCGGGCGGAAGTGAGTTTGCTCCTTTGGAGATTAAAAGGATTCCGAATTCCGATCAGTCCCAATAACCGGCGTACTGAAGAGAAGAGTAGGAGGAGGAGGAGGAAGAGGCGGCAAAGCAGAGAAAGAGGGGGCGCGCGCGCGCGCACGCAACCCGAATTGGGGGAGCTGTGCAAAGCCCCAGGAGGCCAGGGCACGGCGGGAGCAAAGCCTGGTAGGCGCAGCGCGGCCAGGGCCACCCGCGTCCCGATCGGCGACTCGTTTCAGAGAGAAGATGACGCGGGCGCGAGCCGGAGGCGTTGGCCACGCGGCTCCCGAGCTCGCCGCGCGGGGCTGTTGCCGATTCCACTGATTCCAGCGCGCCTGAGAGGAGCCTCCATCCCCGAGGCTCGGGATCGGAGGGGGGACCCAAGGCGAGGGCGAAATGGCCCGATGACAAAGGAAATGTGATCCCCCTTCGCTGCCAAGGTTTCAGAGAGGACGGACGTGAGGAGGAGGAGGGGCGCAGGGCGCGCGCGGAGCTCGGATAGCATTGCACGACGGCCCGCGCGGAGCGGGTACATCTAATATCTTCCTGCCGATGAATAATTCAGGGAGGCCCGCGGGGACCTGTGGCCCCGCGCGCTAAGCCTAAGGGGAAGAAGCGTGCGGGAGGTGCCCAGGCCCAGCGAGGCGGGGGCACGAGGACTCCGGTCCGCGTGGGGCGCGCGTGCGTGTTGAGCGCGGGCAGCAGCGGCCAGGCTGGGCAGGCGCGCGGGAGACTCGAGGCGCGTGGGACGCGCGTGCGTACTGCACGCGTGCGGCCGCGGCTGGGCCACCACGAGCTGCAGCTGCTGCGGGGCCCACCGCCCTGCAGGGGAGGCCGCGCCTGGCCGTGCGCAAACCCCAAGCGCAGCACGCCGGGCCACCCAGGAGCCCCAGGCCGCCGCGTCATGCGGCGGGGCAGCCGGCGTCGCGCGGGGGGACACCGGGTTGGCGACGCGCCGCTCCCGCCTTTACTAGTTTGGGGCGCCTTCCCCTTCCAAGAACAGACTAAATCTGTTTAAAGAAAAGCAACACACCAAATACTCGTGGAACCAAATTCTTGATCTCGCCAGGACTGGGACTGCCCAGCGAACTCTCCTTTTGGGAACTACTTTCGGCTATCGCGAAGCGAAGCCCCAGCTGCTCCAGGGAGTCTTCTGACCTCCCTGCCCCCGCTCGCCCCTCGCGTGTCGGGGCTTGTTCCGGCGTTCCGTCTTCGGAAAGCACGCGGCCCCAAGTTCTCCGGAGGAATCCGTGTCGCCGTTGGATAGTGGCATTTAATGCCTGCAGTGTTGGGGGTGGCAGCGCTCGGGCCGGACGTGGCCAGGCCAAGCGGGCAGCGGTGCTCTGGTGCCGACTCCCGGACTGCAGGCCTAATCGATGCATTTTTCTGAGTGAGTCGGTAGCTCCCCCACCCGCCTCGTCCGCTCTCTCCTCCTCCTCCTCCTCTTCCTCTCTGGTCTCCTCCCTCCTCCGGGCTGGGTTGCAAATGGCTTCGTTCCCTGAGACCGATTTCCAGATCTGCCTGCTGTGCAAGGAGATGTGCGGCTCGCCTGCGCCGCTCTCCTCCAGCTCGTCCGCGTCGTCGTCGTCTTCGCAGACGTCCACGTCGTCGGGGGGCGGCGGCGGGGCTCCTGGGGCGGCTCCGCGCCGCCTACACGTCCTGCCCTGCCTGCACGCCTTCTGCCGCCCCTGCCTCGAGGCGCACCGGCTGCCGGCGGCGGGCGGCGGCGCGCCTGGAGAGCCTCTCAAGCTGCGCTGCCCCGTATGCGACCAGAAAGTAGTGCTAGCCGAGGCGGCGGGCATGGACGCGCTGCCTTCCTCCGCCTTCCTGCTCAGTAACCTGCTGGACGCGGTGGTGGCCACTGCCGACGAGCCGCCGCCCAAGAACGGACGCGCCGGCACTCCGGCGGGCGCGGGCGGCCACAGCAACCACCGGCACCACGCGCACCACGCGCACCCGCGCGCGTCCGCCTCCGCGCCGCCACTCCCGCAGGCGCCACCGCCGCCTGCTCCTTCCCGCTCGGCCCCCGGCGGCCCGGCCGCTTCCCCGTCGGCGCTACTGCTGCGCCGACCTCACGGCTGCAGCTCGTGCGATGAGGGCAACGCGGCTTCCTCGCGCTGCCTCGACTGCCAGGAGCACCTGTGCGACAACTGCGTCCGAGCGCACCAGCGCGTGCGCCTCACCAAGGACCACTACATCGAGCGCGGCCCGCCGGGTGCCGGCGCCGCGGCTGCGGCGCAGCAGCTCGGGCTTGGGCCGCCGTTTCCCGGCCCGCCCTTCTCCATCCTCTCGGTGTTTCCCGAGCGCCTCGGCTTCTGCCAGCATCACGACGACGAGGTGAGTGCGTGGGGGGCGTGTGTTTGTGTTAACGGGATAACCGCGGGTGTGTTGAACAGGGGTCGGTCCCTGGCCGGTCCCACGGCGAGGAGGGGAGGCCCTCTCCGGATTTGCTTTCTATTTCCTTTGGCTACGTGGCAGCCCTTGCTACCAGAGTAGATCATGTCCTGGGAAGTATGTAGAATGCGTCTCGCGAGGGGCCCCGAAAAGCCCCATGGCATGGGGCCCTCTCTTTTCTGATTATCATTTCTGTGAAGCAAAACGCGGCAATCGCCTCCAGTTAGGCATGAGTTGGGAAGAGATCGGTGTGTGTGTTTGTGTAGACGTGGCCTCCTTGTGCGGGAATGCCAGAGGCCTCCCAACGTGCTGAGAAGGCGCTTCTTTATTTTCAGATTTTTGTTCGGAAAACTCATAGATTGTTGCCTTTAAATAGGGCATGAGCCCGGAACAGATGTTTGTGTGGGTGAGAGCGTGGAGCGTGTGTACCTCTGTGGACCTGGTTTCCACGTGCGCACTAGTGAGGGGAAGACTGTTTTTTTTGTTGTTGTTGGGACAGCATGGCAGTCCTTGCCTCCTTATGCTGGGGTAAGAGTGGGAGCGTCAGTGGATCTTCGAGGGCCAAGGGCTCCCAGTCTTCAGTCCTCCTCTCCGCGGCTGCTTCCTATATTGCTTAAAATGCGTATTCTGGCCCCTGAACTCTCTTAGCGTGAAACCGCCGTTCGGCCTCGTGGGCCCACGGCTGCACCCCGAGATAGAAGCGGAGTAAGGGGCCGACCATACCTTCACCCGCCTGAGTCTCTAGGGCCGCGCCCGCCTTTCCCGACTCCAAGCCGTACAGGAACCGGTTTCCCTGGTTAGGAGGTATCCCCATCCGGCTCAACCAGGGGCTCCGACTTGCTTGGAAAAGACCCAGGCAGCCACGCGCTGCTAGAACGCCGGAGTGTGAAGGGTATTCGGGCTGCCTCGCAGTCCTCGGGTTCGATTTCGCCTTTTGGGCTGTCGAGTAAACGTTTCTTATTTTTCACCCAGTGTGACTCCTTCCTCCTTTCCACTTTGTTGTTAATGCGAGTATCTTCTCCCCCGAACCCAATAAGGCAGGCCAAAAGTTTTGAGAAGCGGCCTTTGCCAAGGGGGTCGGTAACTTAACGCGATCTACCTGTAGACCGGTGAGAGAGGGTGTGTGTGACCGCTGTAGACTTGGAGCGTAAGCTGGAGACTGCAGAGGCTTTAAAAACAATAGTGGGGGTCGTAGCCTGTGTGAGCTGGCTAGTGGGTACTGAGCACCGCTAAGGTGAGTCCAGCGCCGCTGCCTTTTCCTCTCCTAACCTTTTATTTGGGGAGGAGGGCGGTGCTATTACCTGATGGCCTTTAGCTAGCTTATCCTGTTGGAAAACAGTTGAAATTCTCATCTATTTCTGGGCATCTCCTTTTAAAAGTTTCCTTCTATGTATGAAGTTAGGGAACAGTTACCCTTTTTTTTTTTTTGGTTTTTAAACTTTGAATGGACTCCTAGTTTTAACACGCTCTGGGAGCATATTCTTACCACTTTTAGAAAAAGGAAAGATTGAGGTAAATACCGATCCAAATCCCAGGAACAGAAAAATGGAGCCAATTCACTTGCAGATTGGGATCAAATGCAGGGCGAGGAGAAGGGGGCTGAATCCAGGAGAGTTTCCCTCCTGGGAGGTTCTTTTAGTTTAAATGTCAGTTTATATTTCCAGTTAAAGATCCACCTATATTTTATTTGGTCTGAAACAGTAGATGCTCAGTGTTGGCAGACTTGTAAAAGATTTACTCACTTTTAAAATGAGAAAACCCTTCAAACTGCATTGAGGAGTGTGAATTGAGAAGTGAAGCTCTCCCTTCAGCCTGGGAGGTACTGGGAAGCCCTTCAAATTCACTTTTTAGCATGTGCAATGTCAGGTTGAAGTTACTAATAATCCTTGAAGAACATTAAAATTTGCTCAGTTTTGAGCGAGATTCTACATCCTCTCTTTAGCTTTTTATTAAAAAAGAAAATTTGGAAATCAATTGTTTGGCCCCTTTATTCTTTCCTGGATTTAGAGTGCTAGAAATTTGAGATTAAAGGTGTGACAAGCCAGTATTCTGAGAAGACTAAAGTGTTTGGAGAGGAAGCACTACCAGGTAGTGAGGCTCATATACAGTTCCACGCACACCTTAAATCCTTTTCTTTGAAGGAAGTGATCCTTAACAGTTTGAGAATATTTTCGTTTAAAAAGTCATCCCTCTCTGACTGGGAGGGAGCTTTAGGGCGTTTGGAAGAGGATAGACTGACCCATATCTTGATGTGATATACCAAATGCCTAAATCCATGTATTTAATGTGTATACTATCTACCTCAATTTTTAGGATGAGCTCCTTAACTGAGTTGCTTCCCCTGTCAACAGGCTCCATTAAATAATTCAGAGGACCTTTTCCTTTTGGCGACTAACGCCACCTGACCTTGGGAAGGAGGCCCAGACACCCTATCGTTTTTGTAGGGGCAGCCTGCAGGGTCTCTTGCCCAGAGAGACTTTCTTCCATAAGCATCTCCCTGGAAATGACTTCTTAGGATTGGGAAGTGAGGTGTCTTGGCTGAGCAATGGGCTTAAACCGTAGTGATAATAACCTGGAAATCTAAAAGGAAAGAGTTGGGTTTTCCAACGAAATATTTCAACAACATAGTTGGGGTCTTTCCACTAGTTCTGTGCCTCCAGAGTCCAAAAGGCCTGCAGGCTCCGTGGCCCATCCAGCATCCGGCGGGTAATCCGAGGCCGCTGTCCCCGGAACCACTGGCCGCGGGCCCGCTGCGTGTTGCAGGTCCCGGGAGAGGTGGGTGCAGGCAGAGCCGCCGCGGGCCTGCGTAGTCCGAAGCCTGCCTCTGCTCTGGGGACTTGGCCTGGCCGGTGGCTGCTGTTCTTTCTTGCAGGGGTGTTCACGGCCGCTCTGGTCATGGAGAAGGGTCTTCGCTTCGAGTTTTGGGGGAAGAGTTTTTCACAACTTAGTAGTTGTGAGCGCTGCTCCATCTGCTCACAAGTGGCCTTTTAGTGTTGTTTTGCTTTTGGCACGTAGGATGTGAGCCCTTTGCTGCCTTGGAGGCGACACCGGGAGCAGAAATCCTGGGTGTGTTCTGTGCCTAAGCCGGGCGACAGGATTCCGTGAATGGCGGGAAGTTGAGCAGGGTTTGAACCCAGGAAA